GTATATTCTTGCTTTTGACAATATGCAGAACTGTTTGGTATTTTTAGAGTTAATTCAGAAGCCAAAAAAAGGGAACGGAAGTGAATCTCTGCCCTCAGTACATCTGTCGTCAGTTCAGTCTGGTCCTCTTCTTCTTCTGGTTTCAGCTGGTTTAAGTAGAAAGTCATGTTCACTGTTATAGTTGTTTGGTTGTCTGATTTATCTGGGTTCTCAATGTGTGTACATGTAAATCTTCAGCACCTTCTGTCTTAGTGTTGGTTTCTTCAGTTTCTGATGCTGTTAGAGTTGCAGGTTTTTTGGTTAAGATCAAGGTCTGGGTATCAGGGTTCTCAGTAGATTGTAGCTGGTATATATTAATTCCTTCCTCTTCTGTTGCCTTTTGGATTGTAGGTTCATCAGTTGGAGTCTGGGTTGCATTTTGTAGCTTTGAAGTGGCATCTTTATTTTTCAGTCTGGAATTCATTAGCTCAGTAACCTGAAGGATTTTTTCAAGTAGCAATTTATCATTAAGTTGTGGGTAGTATTCCTCCATTTCTATGGTATTTACAGATAGTCCTTTAGTGGAGGCTATTTTTGATAAAAGTCAAAGGTGTCCACCTCCACTACAGAGAGTTGTTTTCACCACCCAGCTGTTTCAAGTTCTTATCTTTTTTGATAGTGCCAAGGCCAAATTTTAGCCTCACAAGTCTCCCAGTCAAAAAGAAATTCACTTGCTGTACCAAATTTCACCACAAGATGTCCACAGTGACATGTAAAATCTTTCTCAAACTCAAGTTAGGCTTTTTATCTAGTTTGAAAACATAACCTTTTTTTTCCAGCTTAACAGATAAGTAAAGTAATAAATCCCTGTAAGAATAGGAACCTTTTAGAGCCCCAAATATCCAAAAATTGCAAAGCCAATTATTTGTTTAGATTAGTTGTTCTTTTTTCCCCCCCATAGCTTTATGTTCCCAGAGTAGGCAGAAGCCGCCAAGTTAGAAAGGGGGAAAAAAAATTTCCAAAGGCTTTTACAGGAAGGTAGTTGGGGTGCAATAAAGTAAGGTAAGATCTCACTCAACTCCTTCGCATTGCTTTCGTTGTGCTTGGTAGTGCTTTTGGTTTTCGGCTGGTATGGCTTAGTGATCAGCCATGTTTACGGCCGATCTTTTCTTCGTCGGTCCAAAGGAGCTGTCTCGGATCAAACGGAAGGGCTGTCGCCCTTCTGTGATCTAGCGAGGGTCCTCCTCAGTGGTGGTCGCCCCTCCAGGGTGACTTTCGACCCTTTCCAGGGTCTTTCTACAAAAGGAAACCGGATGGCGGAGAGAGTGCTCACGGCCTCATGTCTGCTGGTGCCGCAATCCGGAACTGGAAGCCCTCAAGACAACTGCAATCTTATTCAATGCTAGGATAGGGACAAATTAAGGGGGATGTCCTCTGTTCAAGCCATCTCAATGTGATTGTTGAAGCATTGCCTTCCCAGTTAGCGAGTAATTGATGTGAAAGGCCCTTAGACCAAAGCCTGGGGCAGGTCCTTCTCTCTTTAATCTGTTGGGCTGAACAGCCATTTGTCTTACTCAAGGTATATCATGTTAGAAGGTTTCTAGTCCATTTCCAGGTTTAAATAAAAGAAAGGTATTTTTAAAGCCAGTTTGACTTGGGTTCAGAATGTATCTAAAGGACTACTGTATCTTCTCTTTCCTATAATTTAGACTACTGGCCCACAAGCAGAATTCCCTTCCTTTTCTCACATGCATCAGCCACCTGCATTAGATCTGAAGGAAAGGTCTACTCTGCTCTCCCATTATTTTTAATTGCTTTAATAGTTGTTCCCTCTTTTTTCCCTGCATATTCTCTAGTACTGTTATAACTTTTGTCTCTCTACTGTAAGCTGCCTTTGGGCTATGGATGATAAAGCAGAGAGAAAAGCTTGTAAGTAAAAATAAATACACTAGTGAATAAATAAAACCAGCAAGACACAGAATCATTATTTTGTTTTGCCCTTACACCAGTCCTTTGAAAACATTAGGCTAAGAGAGTTATTGAATAGCCCAAGGTCATCTAGTGCCTGAGAGTAAATAGGAATTTAAACTTATTTCTCTTTTAACGCACTGCTTCCTTTTGTGCTCTAAGTTGTCTGCCAGGAAAAAAAAAATCTGTTTTCAGAAATAAGTCTGGTTTGGCCTGGCACATTTCATAACAGTTCAGATTCTAGTGATCAAAAGCTTGATATAAGATTAAAGTTCCATTGTTGCCAAATGTAACATAAGTAGAGCCCACGTCATGGTTGCTGTAGCATGAAGACATCTATTTGCCAAAGACACATCCTCCCAACAGATTAGCCATCTCATTGCTAGCTGAGACACACTGAAGTTAGAATAGAATAGAGCTGGTAGGGACCTTCGAGATCTTCTAGTTCAGTTCCCTGCTCAAAGAGGAGAACCTATACCATCTCAGGCAAGTGACTGTCTTGACTCTAGCCTCTTAAAAATCTCCAGTGGTGGAGCGCCCACGATTTCTGGAGGCAAGCTGTTCCACTGGTTAATTGTCCTCACTGTCAAGAAGTTTCTCCTTAACTCCAGGTCGTTTCTCTCTTTGGTCAGTGTCCAACCATTGTTTCTTGTCCTGCCCTCTGGTGCTTTGGAGAATAGTTTAATGCCCTCTTCTTTGTGGGAGCCTCTCAAATACTGGAATACAGCTATCATGCCTCTCCTATTTCTTCTTTTCTTTAGACTAGCACTAGCCAAACCCAAGTCCTGCAGCCATTGTGCAAAAGCGTTTCCATTCTATGCTGGTAGAAAACCTGGGTTAGCGATTTGCTGGGCTCCAGCTATCCTGCTGCAGGACCAACCCTTTCCATCTGGCTGCTGGGTACAATCTCCTCCGTGGCCAATGGGACTGGACACATCACCAGTGCAACTTGTATGAGTGTAGTTCATTTATGGGATATTGTATCAACCTAATCAATCTAATGGAACACTTACAGTCTTCATAAGATCAATATACTGACTGAGAAGAGAGGGATGGGAAGCCTCTCAGGACCTCTGTGGCAATCCCCATCCTCAGCCATGTACTCTACCCCACCCCACCCCGCCGCAAGGTGTTAAAGATTACCTGGAGTAGTGCTTTTCCTTTAAAACATTCTGATCTTTTTACATAACGTATTGATGAAGAAAGCCTGGTGCTCCTTGATTTTTAACGTTGGGGAAAGGGTACTGCCTCACCCATTTGTGGTAAATAACAAGGAAGAATTACCAGTGTTTGAAAGAATTTAAACTCCTTTGACTCTTGGGCTGTGCAGTTTTTGGTGGGCACATTGTTTCTGCCTCTTCTTTGCAAAGTCTTGAAGGAACCTATAGCTGCAGTCTGGCCGAGAGTTCCTGTTGGTTGAAACTCAAGTCTGTCCCAGCATATTGCAGAACAACCTGGAATAAATTAACTAACCCACCAATGGACACTTTGTCTTCCCCCAATAGCTGTAGCTTTCCCAAAGGACTGCAAAGATTTAGCACCCCTTCTGTGCGCCAGTCAATTTCTCCATGTCTTACCTTCTTATCAGCTGCCTAGCCTTCTTTAGGTAATCCTTCCATCACTACTTGCCCTGAACCAAGCCAATAAGTGACCATTCAGCCCAGAAAATACAGATTCTGAGCTATTCCCCACCACCAGCCAAAAAATCCAGAAAGTATCAGAGGCAGTTCCTGTTGGTAGATGGCTTGATACGAGGGGCAAAGACTTCAGGGATACTCCGTGTTCCAATGCGTGCGGGCTGCAACACTGACCATGTCCTGGTTTTGAAGCATAGTAAAGACAGATTCTGGAAGCAGTGTTTTTCATAACAATGTATTTTCCTCCTAAGTCAAGGAAGGGAGGAATGCATATTACCATTGATCTGAGGAAGTTAACCCTGTTTTGGGAATATTCTGTATACTCTGAAGCACTGTCTTAGCAGTGGATAAGTAGACTTAGCTTTGATATATCCAAATCTTTCTGATCTACTTCCTGCGCATTTCACTGGTGCTTATTCATATTTCTTTACAATTTTCTAAAAACAAAGATTACCGCTGAAACAATTTCATGTATTTTTCTCATTGTCACTGCTGCCCACCTCTACTTCTCTTTAGTTTTTGCAATACTGCCTCCTCACATAGCTTCTAACTTTCGGAGGGGGGGGGGAATATATCCACATATCAGTTGGGCAGCAATTAAGTTAGTACAAGGAAAGACTGTCTTCCAAAGACAATTAGAAAAGCCCACGGCTCTAAAATGATTTTTCTCCCTGCATTTTTAACAATTGCAGACACTAGTTGACTTCAGTGCTTCAGAAATCGCCATTTTGCTACCTTCTGTACCCAATAAACAAAATGAGCTAATAGAAGCTTTTACACCGGGTGCAAGCCAAAGAAAACTACGCTTCCTACTTCTGTACTGAGTCCCTCTGATTTGAATGACTTAGTCCCAAAGAAGTATGCTTAGCATTTCCAGTCCTGTTCCATCAGCAGACTAACTCCAGATTGCCTTCATAAGCCCAGCACGAATCAGTGTCTGGCTTACACAGGAACTCTGCATGGATTTGAAAGTCTCAGTTTCCCAGAGTCTATTAAACTAGCTGGCCTGTAATTTTCATGAACCTTTAAAAAAAAAAGGTTTCTATTTAGCAGTCAGCTATGAGGATGTATTACATACTTTTATTTGACCAAGTTTCTCATTGGAGTTCGTTCAAAATTATACTATGCTACACCTTAGCCAAAAGACCAAGAAAGCTTTGGATAAATGCCATCTAGATATAGTGATTGGTTAAGTTCTAACATTTCTTTGGCTTGTCTGAACTTACCCCAAATATTAGTTCATATACTGATTAGCATGAGTTTATCCCTATGCCAATAATTTTATATATTATGTCTCCTCCTATTTTCCCTCTAAAAGAAAGCTGTGACCTAAAAAAAAGACAGGTTATCATTTATTAAGCTACCAAAATATCCAACGCAAACCAGCATGGTGCCAAAGTGAAAACACTCCTGGAAATAGGTCTGTCCATTTTTATTTGCTTTATATATTTATACTATTTTTAAAAAACAATCCACTCAAACACTCACACAGACATTCCTCCCTTTCACTGATTCCAGTAAAGCAGGAAACTGGGATGTCAAACTGGGTGGCCCAGAGCAAATGTCCCAGGATGTGCTCAGAGAATTTAAGCGGCCATTTGATGCCAGATTTGTTTCCACACAGGTTGCCACAACAATCTGTTGGGGCAAAATGTAACTTAAACATGAGCCATTTCATGGCTCCTTAAAATGCATTCAAGAAAACAAAAGTCAGGCGAGAGGGAGAGAGAAGGGGGGGGGGAGTAGCATTCAAAATAGAGAAGGTACAAACCAGAGAGGAACAGGGGAAAGCGGCTGTAAGAAACACAAGAAGAAAATAATGGGGAGGCAGAACCATTTACACAGGGACAAAGTTGCGCAGAAATACATCTGGATTGAAGAAGAAAGCACCAGACGTGGGACACCTGCTTCAACTCCCCAACCAGCAGTCCTGTCAGTTTGATTTAGACCAGATCTTTGCACTGCCTCGGAGCCTGCAGAGAAGAAAAAAGCCTTGGCATGAAGACCAGCAGAAGTTTAGCCCGAATGCTCAAGACAAGGGCTTTACAGACTCTACAGGTAAATTGCTAGAGCCCCAATGTGAGGGATGGATGAAACACCTCAGGGAATGCTCTGCTTTTCTGTCTCATCTACAGAGAGGCAATAGCCAGCCTTCCCTGGAATGCTATCTCACCCTTTGCCCTTGGAGGCCTTCTTGCTAGCCTGGCGCTGGTTGGTACCCGGAGCGGGCTCCCGGAGTTCTGACAAATGCTGCTCGGGGTCTTGGGAGGTTGCCGCTGCTGCAGCTGCTGTTGTCACCTTAATCGTCTTCTTCAGATTTGCCACCTACAGGGTGAAAAGAAAATGAGGGAAAAGAAACAAGGAAGACATGGTTCCAGCGCCAAAGACAGGACGTGTTCCCTAACATAATCATCCTGGAAAAATCTCACCAGGAATTCTCCAGCCAGATCTTAATTTAAAAACCCCAATGGGGGGGAGGGGCTGTGCCAAGGTTTCAGCGGATGCCTTCCAATGTGCTGCATTCAGCTGGAGGGCTGAGGGTGTGTAAATGATTTCTCTCCCCTCCTGCTGACTCATCCGTTTATTAACAATACTTGTAGATCACCCCAGTGCTAATAGATTCTGGGTGGTGAACAACAAAGCACACAACCAAAGAAGAAATCATAAGCAACAATATAAGCAACAAATGAGTAAAATGTACGAGCCAGGAATCTTTTTCTTACATTGCTCATTAGTCAAAATAATTAATTTCTTCAGCCAAATAAGGATAGGCACTTCAATTGTAGTATAGAATACATCCATAAAAGCATTTGCTGACTGTGCTATAGATTGATTTGAGGAATAAAATATTGCTCAGATGAAATATATTTATTTTTTATTTTTAATATTGGGAGAGTTGTATTATGCTCAGTTTTCTGAACAACTAATAGTTGCAAACTTTATCCCATAAGCTCCCAAACCTCTAGTAATTAAGGTATATTTGTGGACAATTAAAATGGAGCATTTTCTCTTCTCCTACATATGACACAAATTTTACCAGAGCACGTAAAGCAGACAAGGACCACTTCCATTGGTTTAAGGCCAGCTCTGGTTTTTGAATGCCTTGTCAAGCATTAAACACTCCAAAAATGGCAGAGGCTTCAGGTACTTTAATGGGCAAGCAAAATAAGTGCTTTAAATATTTGAAAGATCCATATAGACACTTTCCCCTCTCAAAACTTCCCAAATTCTGAAAACACATCTCCCCACCCTTCTTTTCAGTGTTTTTTTATTAGGAAACATGAGCCTAGAATAACAATGCACATCAAAATGCAACTAATAGGAAAATGGGTAATTTGGTAATGCTTGGCAATAATTAAAGCTTCTGTCACATTCAGTATACAATTAAATGGTTAAAAGGCAAATTAACCATATAAAAAATGACAGAAAGAATCTTCTCCATGGAGAGGTGGACAAAGTTTTTTAAACATTTACTCTAATCATGTCTGTCATCCAGCTTAAAATTGCTATGATCAGCTAATAAAACATAGTTTTGAATGGAGCAGTTGTGACCACATTTTAAGAGCGCCTTTCTGCATCACACTTCCAAAAATGTTATATTAAATATTCCTGGAAATATTGGAAAGATGATCATAGAATAAGTATTACAATAATCTCTTTAAAGACAATGTTAGCAGCTTAGTTTTAGATCCAGTTTTACTGCTTGTGAGAAGTGACTTTTATCATGTTATATCTTGGGATATGAAACAGACAAGAAAATGCCTTACATGAAGTCAGAACTGGTATTATCTATTAAGAAGCAAGTAAGAAACATCAGATACAGAAAATGTGGAATTGACATTTTCAGTCTATTGTTGCAGGAATTTATCTCATCTAATGTAGGCAAGATAAACCTGGAGGCATATTTATTAATACCATTTGCCTCAATTTCAAAGACTGTAAACAATGTACAAGAGCAACAGCAGCAAAATGATACAGCAATTGAAAAAATAAATTAATTTTTTTTTTAAAAAAATAATGCAATCACAATAACAATAGTAACATTCATACTGGGGCTTAATAAATATAATAGTGAAATCCAAAGTCCCTCCAGAACAGCTAATTTTTTTAAACCTTTTGGAAGTTAAAGGGGGCAGAAGCTATCCTTCTTTGGAGGGGGGGGGGGAAACTATTCCAGAGGATGGAATGGGAGCAAGCTATTTCAGAGGAGAGGAGCTACCCATATTTGGGATGGATGCTCCTACCTTAACCTCCCAGAAGGAGGTGACTTATAGCAGGTCTTCTCTGCCCATTTGGACTCCTGGGAGCAGAGTATGTCTGATAGAAGTTATCTGGTAGATATCTAGGGCCATTTAGGGCCTAATAGGCAATAATCTAAAACATTTGAATTGAACTTGGCAAGCTGCTGGTAAGTTTATGCTCCCACATCAACTTCCCTCCTTGATAGAAAATGGCCTTGTTGAATTTCAGGAGCACAATCTTAGTGGGACTCTGGAGGTTAGAGGTGGCCACAAGTTGCCTACCCCAGCTAGACCGGAAATGTACAAGACCAGCAGAGGTTGCCAGATGTAATGGTGAAATCAGTCTGAAGCTGGGGGGGGGGGGAAAGCTCTGCATTGCAGCCCTGCCCCTCACCTCACTCTCAATCTGCTGCTTCAGGCCCAGCTGCTGCTCTTTGTGTTGATTGGCTCGGCTAACTTGTTCTTCAATGCTTGAAAGGACAACTTCGCAGCCCTGGCACCTGGGAAGGACCAGTAAAAGTTGAACAAGCAGGAGACCAACAAAGCAACTAAGAGAGCAAACAGCATTTAGCAGAAGCTCATAAATCTTGGGATTGGGAAATCTGGCTCATGGGCATCCAAGGGTAGGAGAACAAACAAGGAAATGTGCATGATGTCATCATGAAAATCTCATGACTTAAATGCTTGCATCAGATGTTGAGACCCAAGCACTTAATGGCAGCATTCACTTGATGATGACAAGTAGATGTCTCTCTCTGTGTGTGTGTATTTTAGCACCATTGTATTTTGTGCTGTAGACCCCACTGGAGAGACTTCAGTGGAAAAGGGGTGTGCAAATGTTCTCATAGCAAGGGAAGAAGTGAGAGGGGTAGGAGAAATAGTCCTGGGCAAAATGAGTCTGTCTCCACAGACATCTGTACTTTGGCAAGGTCACCACACAGGCATACAACTCTCTTCCCACCAATGAAAAGTATTTTTCTAAGAGTAGGATTAAGGTGCATGTATACCAAGATTTTCAAAGTACAGAAAAAGCATAAAATGTTAACTCCAAATCTAGTTTCTCAAGAGTCTTGGCTTTCACTTTTAAAAGAAAAAACAAACAAACAAATGGTTGGACCTAAGAGCAAATTTCTAGTTTATAAAAACATTTATTTACAATGCTTTGCAACATTTGATAAAATTCATACATTAGGTGCGGGAGTGTATATTTCTTTCAACAGAGAATACCTCTTCGATGTCCCTAATTGCCTCTTATCCTTCTTTTAAGATCCATAAAAGTAGAATAAATTATGTTAATTGGTGTAACCTATAGACCATTTCATGGGGCATAAAATCCCAATATTAATCCTGCACACAAGTAGTCCTCACTTAACCACCTTTTGTTCAGCGATCATTCAAACTTACAACAGTGCTGAATGAAGGACCTACAACAGATTCACAGAGTTCTAGCCATTGCAGTGCTCCCCAAGGTCATGTGAACAAAATTTGGGTGCACCTAAGTTTACAACTATGCCCCTTGCCAGCAGCTCCCCCACCACCGACCCAGCTGATCTTCATTGTTTTCTTGTCTGCCTCCCCTCCGTTGAGTTCACCATCCTGGCATGGACAGGGGACGTGCTGTGGAAGTGTCCCACAGACTGGCAGGCAAGTGCGGCAGGCAGGCAGGTCTGTGCTATGCCTCATGCCACTGCCAGCCAGGTCCTTCTTTTGGGAGTTGGCCAGAGCTTCTCTTTGAGCAAGAAAGACTTGGCCAGCATGCAGAAGGGGGCTAGCTCAAGGATGACTTGGCTGGTGCATGAAAGAGAACCCGGCTGGCAATGGCACATGGTGCAGGGTGTACAGTGACAAGCAGGGTTGGGCAGTGGAGGCAGCTGGCGACGGCCATCACTTAGCTTCTTCCAAAACTGGCTGGGATCTAGGTGGATCCTTGTCTAATGACCATGTGCAATTTGCTCAACAACTGGGAGTGCTGGAACAGCTGTCAATAAGCAGAGGCGGCTCCTTGAAGTTTTGCTTAACGACTGCATTTGCTAAGTTACCAGTCCCAATTAGGGTTATTAAGTGAGGACTATTTTGCATAAGTGATAAGAAGCCCTTTGTTCATTCTTGTCTAGTGGTGTGATGCTGATTAGGGGGCTTCGGTCCCAAATAGGGCCCCATGATTAGCATCTACTTGACTTCTTCCCACATATGCAGCAGAATCCGAGAAGATCTGGTGGGCTTCTCTGCCTTTGTTAAGATGTATCCTCTTCAGTTTGCACAAGATCAAAGTCTTCCTTACCATTCTTGAAGCGTGCGGGTAATGACACTGAGCTCCTCCCTGCGGATGTCCCGGCCAATGCTGTAATCCACCTCTAACCGCTGGTTGCGCTGGTCCAGGCTCCCTCGGAGTACATCGGCATACACTGCCTCAATCACCAAATCCTCTAGTTGTCGCACATTCTTCAGCTGGAGCTGCTCCAATAGTACAGAATAGGGGATGCACTGCAGAGACACCCAAGCCAGTGTAAGTACAACATTCGTTTGTTTCTTTGCATTCCTTAGAGACCCAATTCCAGAGGACTTCTAAACAATGAGCAGAATAGGCAAGGAAAGGATAGATAGGCTACCTTCAGCTTGGAAGCCAAGGTGACCACAGACAGATGGCGCAGTTTGTTCTTCTGAGCTTCTGTCAAGGGAGGCAGATTCCCAACTTCAGCTGCTCTCAGACCAAAACAAAAAAAAGGAATATTCCTTCAAATTCTCCCTAGCATCACAGAATAAGATCCCATCCATTTCTTATATAGTTAATCCTATTTTTTTTATTTCTCATGACAGATTTTGACACCCTATAACCAACCCCATTTTTTTCTCCTCCTTAAAAAGAAACTTTAAGCCAAACAGTCAAAATTTACTTTGGGCAAATACAGAGAGAAGGATCAAAGGAGCGAGGTAATTACAAGTTATGGGCCAGCCTCAGTCTCCTTTTAATGTCCAACAGTTTCTTTCTCAATTCCACGAAATTTTTAGTCTATACAGTAAATCCTCATCCTGAGGAGAGCTTCAGCGCTGAATGACTTCATATTATTCAAATCCTGCTATATGAAGCATTGCTTCGTTTTTGTTTTCTTGGCTCTTCCATCTCTATTGGCAATTTTCTCTACCATTCCTGTTTCTTAAGGAGAAGATAAGACATACCCAGGTAATCTGAATACGTCCCATATGCAAAGACCGTAAGCAGGCGGAAAACAGGTGAGAATTCACTTTCGGATAGCTATAGAGGGAGAGAAAATAACTAGAGTTATTTGAGAAATGATAAAAGAAAAACTTTGGGGAGGTTTTATGCTCGTGGAATCTTTCACAGTTCACACCAGAACATCCCAGGTAACCAACAGATCTGACTTTCACCAATATGCTGAGCCTCTGCCCAGGCAGCACCACTCAAGAAAATTATGGAGGAATTGATTGTAATGTAATATTCTGCCTAAGATTAAAAATCCCTGACATTTATATATAAAAATATTGGACAGGGAGAAATGTTCCAGCCTAGTTGCTCTTAGACATACAGCACTAGTTTTATATATGGAAAGCTGATGTTATTGTTAGGACTGTTTAATGTTATGAGCCTCCATCTGTCATCCCTAATGGTATAATCATATGTAATTTGAGTATAAACCATTTCATGGAAAATCTTTAAAACAGTCTGTTTCCTTCTGTGCAGCACTCTTGTGGTGGGAATGCTCAAAATCCAACATAAATATCTAAGAAAAAACATCTCTGCTCAGACATAAAGGAAGATTACTGGATAATTTTGCACCACATATACCCCTCCATCTAGCCTGAGTTTCACAAAGATGTGTTATAGAAAAAAGATAGGAATTTTATAAACATCAGCAAAATCTGTCTATTATTCAGGTGATTGACATTCAGAGGTTTTACAGACCTCACAAAAGCAAGTATTGTGTGCCATGTTAAAAAAAAAAAATCCCATGTTCCATGAAACAAGTCACCTAAGAAAAATACAGGGCTATTTTCCTCCATAAATCCACCTGGACTGCTACAGTTTGGGAACCACAGATTTCATACCATTACATTACATGAAGGAAGGGGTAAGGTTTTCATATTTTTAATAAGGTTGAGGACCCCAAACTTTTCTACTATTGTTTTAAATCTTTCTTTAATTATAGAAAAATTGGCCTATGAACCAAAAATTAGAGCAACTCCAAGCAATAGCCTATGACATTAGCTTTCTTTCTACACTTTTTTCCACCATGTAATCACCAAATCTTTTAATTAAAGGTACACAATTTTAGGGAGATTCATGCCTTTATGGATGATTGGGAAGCATTCAAAGAGATACATTCCATTTAAAGGTGGTACTAGGTAGATCTATTACAAAATATATATTTACCTGGGATAAATACTGGCCTTTTAAAATTCAGCATAACGAAAGATCAAGCAATTTTGTTTAGCATGAGCGATTACAATCCCAGAAAACTCCTAAATGACTTTAGGAATCCCATGGATTACCAAGTTCAGTATGAAAAACATTAGCTTAAAAGCAATTTTATTCAGTGATTCAATAGAAAGACGACTAATCTCCATTCAGTACTACTATACAAGAATTTGTCAAAGGAAATCATACAGAAACTTGAACCTGCTCATTTATAGAGCAGAAATACTTGTTTCAAAAGATGTGTGAACCAATGGTTCCACTTTAAAGCATAATCTGTGACTTCAAATTACTATAAAAAAATTAGATTAGCAAGGGGTTGGAATTGATGACCTCCAAGGTCCCTTCCAACTTTATTATTATTATTATAGAATAGCAAGGCAGTGCTAAGAAAGGCTGCCTTGCAGAACAGAGGCACCAGAGGTCATATAAGGTCCTGCTTTTTTCCATCAGGCCTTTGGAAGGTTGTACCATACAACCCTATGGGTCTCAGAGCTCACCTCTTGAACATTTGGCATGTCAAGTAGCTCTCCAAAAACATAAATACCAGGGGCTTCCAGCACTTGATGAATGAGGTTGGCCAGAGCAGCTCCGCGGGCAGATCTTGCCAGCAGCAGAAACTGCTCCTGATTCTGCCCAGACACCTTCACTTCGGCTGCCATTGGGCCAGGCAATCAGAATGGTTCAGGACTTGCAGCCCCTACCACCTAAAAGAATAAACAAATATAACAACTGGAGCTTCTCTTCACATATTATCCTGGAGCAATAGAGAATAAAGTATAGTCACTGTAACACTGGGATATTTATATATATTATTTAGACATCATGTAGGACTAAATAAATAAATAAATAAAATTGAGCAATTCAGAAGAACAAAAATCCCCAACTACAATAAAACGTAGTACAATGAAATGCAGTGAAGTATCAGAATATGAATATACATTCACACATATTTAAAATATGAATTATATTCAGAATATGAAAACACACAGACACAGAAATATAACTTTGGAGCAATCAATTCCTGGTATAGCTGCTCTGTGTCTAACACAGTATCAGTTCTAGGACACAACTTGATGTCAATAATTTAAGCCAGCAGATGAGTCCCCCCCCCCAATCGCCCGCTGTTTTTTTACGTAATTTTCTCCTAAAAAATCAAAGTTGTTATACAGGAATGTAGGTTTTACCCTGGGCACACATGTGCTGACTCAAGGCTGTACACGAATGTAGCAAAGTGTAATTCTGCCTAAGGCAAGCTGTCAGCGTGACCAGGGCCCGGATTCAGGCCAGAAAAGAGGAGATAACGGAGAGCAACGAAGTGTTTTATGGGCAGAAAGCAAAAACAAGGGGAGAAAAGGATCAGTTCCAGCGGGGGGGGGGAGTTGCGGCAGGGAAGAGGAAAGAAGCGCACGAGAGCCGGTTCAGGAAAGCAGACCCATCTTCGATCGCGTTGACAAGAGAGAGAGAAAGAGAGACAGAGAGAGAGAGAGAGACAGCCTCTGCTGCTGCTGCGCCTCCCCACTAGGAACGCCCATCAGATCGAACCGGGCTCCATAACTGTCCCAAAGCAGCCCTGCCTGCAGACCTGCATGCCTTCCTCGCTGCCTACCTGAGGGTCCCCTTCCCGCTGGGAGCGGCTGCTGGGAAAACCTCCAGCCAAGAGCTCGACCACTTCCGGGTTGGTGGCGTCACAGCTGCCCCTCAAACCCCGCCCCTTTGACCTCTCATTGGCCAGCTCCCCCTAGGAGGGCGGGCCTTGTATTGAAAGCTTTCTAAGCAGCTGGTGCGTTTTTCGTGCCAGTCTTGGCGCTTTCATCTGGCCGAGGAGCCGGGCGCGCTGCTGCTACCAGCCGTACGCCGGCCACGGACAGCTATCCTCTTTTCCCTCTCCCTTGATTTCCCCGAGATCCAAGCTCAAAGCAGAAACGCCTTTCTGACAACTGCACAATAGTCAGAAATCTTGTTTGTCGGCGTTTTATACAACATCGACTTGATTCATCGTACAACAATCAAAACTCTTTCCGAAATCACACCGTGGTCTCTTATCCCCGGGGCGGGCAAGCGGGCGGGCGATTGTAGAAAGAAGCAAGATTGCTTTGGAACAAAACCCACAGGTCCATGACCATAAGAGGTTTCCCCCGGGCTTCCATTTAAAAGAAAGGCTGGACAGAAGAATCTGTTGGAAATGATGCGCCATACGGTTCTGCCGCCGGCGCCCTCCATCCCTGCTTCCCACCTCTGGAGAGGAATTTTAAAAACAAAGCTGTATGATAACTCAAAAGGATGGATTGGTGGTATTTTGTCAGGAGATCCTAACATTAAGAGGGTTTTTTGTTTTTTGGGGTTTTTTTTATGTTACTCGTTGCATTCGTATCATCGTTTTAGGGTTCTACGCCAGAGAGTTTTTTTAAATAATAAACTCAGAGAAACATGTGAGCAAAAATAGAAAGCACAGAAAGATCCTGCGATTATTTCATTTACCTGTGTTTTGTCTTACTGGCAGCTTTCCCAGTAGGAAAAATGGAGAAGGGTGGGAAGGTTGGGGAGTAGAAGCATCCAGTAAGGAAGGCTCACATCTTTTGAAGCAGTGAGGAAAAAAGGTAGAAGTGAAGTTTTGAAAAGAATCACCACCTGTTATCTTGGATTTCCCAAATATATAAAATGCTGCATCCCTGGCTACCAGATAACACAATATTTCAGCATGCATGGAACAGATTGCAACAATTATTTTAGCAGTCATAATTCCAGGTAATTTGGAGGGGGGGGGACCTCAACCTCAAGAAAGTCATAGTTGCGACTAAAACTAGAACTGTGCATATCATATTTCTAATCATGTTTGGTGGGTAGATGTTGCAGCAGAGATCATTCCCCACTGTCAGCCTTAATGGTATCAAACATTTGCTGCCTGAGGCACCTTGTCTTGATCTGCTGAGAGGTCAGGCAATCTTTGCCTGTCTGTCCGCATTCATGGGTATGCCCACTGTCTTTATGAGAAGGTATATTTGGCATAAACACCCAAACAAAATATGAATTCAGATGAAGGACTCCTTGGTTTCTCTCCCATTCTGCAGCACAGTAGCCATGGTAGTCGCTTGCTAATTCTAGTGCCATCTCAAACATCAGCCAATCTAGTCTAGCATGAGGTTTCAAGAGCTGGTTTCCTCAGAGAGGTCAAAAGGCTAAAGCAATGCAAAAGACTGCAATATATTTGTCACATTACTACATAGACACAAATGAGGAAAATAATCTTTCAGAGGAATAAGTGGATCCAAGAGAGCAAGCCTCAATTTTTATTGCTTTTGGGTGGGTGGGTTAGTTTATTATTTCAGCTGGGGTGTAATTTGGGGGGATTGTTTATCACTGCCCTATAATTCTCATGACATTATGCACATTTTATTGTTATAATTGTAACCTGATGAAATAAATAATCCAATCACAGTGGTTGTGACCTAAGTAATGTGGGCGGCATTCACAGACAGAAAAATAAAGGTATTTTTTTTTTCTGTAATGAGCCAGCTCTTCCCAGTCTAAATGAAGACCAAGTTATCCATTCTGTAAGAAACCCAACTCAGTTACTTCACTCTGGCATTTTCATTAGAAATTTGTTCTTGAAGCATGATAGCTTTATGATCCGCTCTGCTTGATTTAAGAAACAGAAAGTTTTTCATACTATTTTTAAATGCTACCTTTTTAAAAAAAATTCCTTGCTTGCACCAAAATAAATCATTCTTTCAGTTTTCACATTTCAGTAGCCCTTAAAGGAGGCACCTTGCAAAACCAGCAGCTTTGTAAAGGAAATTTGGAAAGTCATACCAAACGAAATATACTTTGAAAGCTGGACCTTTTCCAAGGGGCCAGATGCATGGCTACTTTGCATTTAAATATCTATTGGAGGGGATAACATATGACTTAATAATGGACCTAGCTATTAGCTGCCCCAGGAAACGTAGAATTTATTATGCTAGGATATTGCTAAATCAGTATATAGCCAAATCAAAGTGGTTTGATGAATAGTCAGAAAGACTTTTTGTGATACTATAATCACTGCATCTTCCTTAGCCATGGGAAATTCACCCAGTGGCTTGAACAAGTCATCATCCTGCTTTCTATATGACTTGACATAAAGCTATATTTTGTGGAAGGCAAAGTACAGATGTGATGACCAGAGCTGGCGCTGCCACGCAGCAGGAAAAAAATGACTTGTTTTCTGAGTGATATAAGCTGTAATGGGGCATACGTTTTGGTCATCATTTCAGGCAGCAAAATAATTTGCCCACTATGGATAGCCAGATACCAGAGATTGCTACTATTTTTCACAAGGCTTTTACTTGCAGACAAAAATAAAGCTTAATGATACTGAAGATCAGAGATTTCTGTCTAGTTGGATGGAAATATTTGCTAACAAGCAGCCTTCTGTAATATATCAGAGACAATGATAGGGTCATAAAGTCTTTCTTTCTTCACTAAAGTATGAATTTATGTTGCTATCCACTTATCATTCGATCTGTAGGAACTATACTGGCAAGGAATCTGTGGTTCTCATTGCTGAACTCCACTCAGATGCTATTATGTCTGTTCCCAGGATTTGCTAGTCATCTAGCTTCCCTCCAAAACAAAATTTTAATGAATTGGACATTGACTTGGGACAGTGTCAGAATAAAAAGATATGCACTATTATACTTTCAGTACTACAATGCTGGGACAGCTAAGGAGGATTTAAGCCTGCCTCTGCCAGGACTGTGATTGTGTGCCATGGTTAGATATTGGTGGAGACACACCTATATAACCTATGACAGGGGTAGGCAACCTTGGCTCAGCATAGCTGGCTCAGGAATTCTGGGAGTTGAAGTCCACCAGTCATAAAAGAGCCAAGTTTGCCTATCCCTGACCTATGAAGAAGATAGTCTTGCTTCCTATCAGGGAAACATCTTTTCTTTTCACTCAAGGACTGATCTAAACACTCAACCACCAGATTTTGAAGGATTATGTATTCTCAACCAAGAAATAACTACCCTTGTTTTTCCTTTCCTGAAATAAATCTCTGCTTGTACTTCTCTTATAAACCAAATCTCATTAATCCCAAGACTTAAGAAAGTATGAAATACATTTGTACCAGAGCCGTGTTCTGGTTGCCTAGCTTTTTCCCTACCAGCTGGGAGGCCAAGTCATTTTAGCATCTCCACTTGAGGCAGGACATTTAGGTGGCACCTTTGCCAGACAATAGGGGGGCACGAATAGGCAGGCCCCGTCTCTGCAGGAATCCTGATGCAAAGAATGAGAACAATGCAAAGGTATTGTGCTTGCAAAGATTTGATCTTCTACTTATTCGCCCTCAATGGATAAGAGCTGAGATGTCGTGAGCCCCATTATTACACCCCACAAAATTAACAGGCCTTTGTCTGTTTGGAGTGCCTGACTCATACCATTCTTTCTACCCTACTATAAAGAATGTGCAAAGTCACCATTAACATGAGTGCACCCAAGGTTGCCAGAGAGCACAATGCCAAACTCCAGGTCCTGCCATCCATTTCCCTTCCTTTCTCCCTATCCTTCTCCCTCCAAGCCTGCTTAGCCGCAGGTTTTATCTCACCATCAATCCACAGTGCTCACATTCTCCGACACGTTTGCTGCTTTTCATTAGTCAGATAACGCTAAGACCGTCTCAATAGCTATTTCCAACTGCCTTTTCTCTTCTCTCTTGACTGGCTGCTTGCCCAGCCACATTGCTCTTTCTCTTCACCTGGACCCAAAGTTGCTTTCCAGCTCCTCTAGAGCTTTCCAAACCTTTCATTCCCAGCTGAGCTACCAACGGCTGCTCGGGTTATTGTTTATTTCAGTTTCATGACAGACCACATTTGCTCTCATGATCATCTCTTATGCAACCTTTAGACCTGAAATCCTTTACTGTGATGGCCAGGGCCCATACTGAATGTTTATGAGGCAGTTGCCGGTCTCCAAGGATTGGTGGGGGGGGGGGAAGCGAGAGGGTGTCACTATATATGTGAGTCAAGTTGGATTTGTTTTCTTATTTCACTGTAGTTACTACTATAGTTTCCTTCTGTTGGTTTTATGCAACAGATTTATGATATATACGATATTAACAGTATTTCCCCAAAATACCTGATATGTTAATGCTATGCTAAGTAGTTTGAATGAATGGAATCCATCCCATGTATATACACAAAACCCCTGTCTCCCATTTATGCAAAGGCACAAGTGGTGAAAAGTGAGCCTTTATCATCTCACCAAAGGTCATGAGGAAATAAGCCTTAGTTGACTAGATAATTTCTAATTAGCTGACACCACACAGGATATCAGACATGAAACATTTTCTTTG